GCATTGATTGGCTGGCTCAAGTACGCGAGCTGCGCCGCAGCAGCATGTCATTGCCCCCGCAGACCCTTGAGCAAGGAGCACTTCGCTACCCAACAGTCGGTGGGAAATGTGGACCTCGTGGGATAACCCTTCCAAAACTGCATTTGGCGTGGTGTGATTCGACCTCCTCTTACAATAATTCTAGCCCCTCAACTGCCGCAGGCGCTGCCGCGAACAGTAAAGTCCGGCTAAGATATGCGAGTAATCCGCACGCAACCTGTGGGGATTGGGGGACGTTTTTTTCTCCGTCTTCCCCTCCTTCTTCTGTTGGAGCGGAATTGTACACCGAGTCGTCTCGTGCACCTCGTTCACCGTTTCCCAGCCTCACCTTTTGTAGTTCACAAAGACCATGTGAATATGCCAAGTCGCCTACCCTTGACACGCAATGGTACGATATGGTAGGTAGTAGGGCGCTATCCGAAGCTAGAGGAGCTTGATAGCGGTGTATGTCTGTATACACGAGTCAGTGCCGTGTCACGGTAGTAGTCTCGGTTCTCAGTCCCGTGTTTTAGGACACCAGTGTTGAGCTATCTGCCCTTGGAGTAGAATGCGTTGCTGCTCACATCCGCTGCCGGAAATGAGCGCTCTTGTGATACGATGGATGCATTCACATTATCATGCAGCACACAGCATCTCGAGATACTGAGAAAAGAGACATGGCCAGTCACAGATCGCAACCAATGCACTGCTACTTACACGATGTGACACTACCCCACTCATGCTGTTCTTGTGATTCTGGTACGAGCCTGATCTTTCATCAGAACAATAAAGCTCGATCTCCGTGGAGATAGTCACAACAATGCTACCCCAGGCCCAAAGACAAGGATACAGACAATTTCGTAAACTTTGTAAACTGTGCTTAACGGTGCATAAACTTGATCGGAAAAGCCGTGCATCGCAAACAGTGTCGAGACAGCACAACACTACAACACGTAATTATAAATCGGAATATCTCGGGTAAAGTACGCAAATAGTTCGATTGCTGGTAGGGTGCAATATAGTAATAATACAACATCTTAAAGCTGGCAGAGACCCGTCCTAGTCATACTGGTGCCCAGATCCCAAGACTGCACATCAAACAATGTTGCACTATCATTTATCTAAAAATAGTCATTTCACATGGCATTTGGCCGTGATATATGTTTGTTGCTACCGTCGAGTCGGGTAGAATACATGTTGCAGTCGTGGCTGATATGTGTAGTACTTGACGGACACTGTAAAGATGGGACGGCGGCGGGCCGGGAAACGCCGACGCAAGTCTTGGCAAAGGACACGCTTACGTCTGTCTCGACACAACATACGTACAGAGCTCCGCGTTCACTCTTTTCGGATCAGCAACAATGAGGGTTTTGCACAGCTTTATTTCTTCACTATTCCTTTCGAGTGCAGCGATTGTATCTGCTGCTTCCTCGTGGAGCTTTGAAGATGCTACTGTTTCGGTTACAAGCAAAGGTGCTGGTGTAGGCGGAGGTTCCAAGGACAAGTAAGCTTAAGTTGGAGCTCTGTATTTGTGCAACGAGTATACGACTAACATTGTCTCTCCAGCCTAAGCCCTTCGAAGCCGCTCGGAAAGTCTGTCTCACTGGGCGCGACCGACACATTGAAACTCGTCCTTACCACAGTCGATGGAGGCACTGCGAAGCGTCCACACCAAGCATACTTGACTCTGACCGACCCTGTCACTGGCGTAGAAGACTCGTTTGTGTTTAGTGTGAAGGATAGTGGAAAGGGCAAAGTCGACCTGGTACGTAATGCTCGTCAATGGCTGCCGACATACCTGACCATTCCAGTCTCACAAGGATTTACCCCATCAATTCTTGACAGCCGAGAAACCAATTGCTGCTTCCATTGTCATTGGATCGTTCGGCTCATCCAAGCCGTACAAGAGCAAGGTGTTTGACCTCAACGTCACTCGCGACACCAGCATTCCTCTAAGCGTCCCCAACCCGCCAGTACGCTACGCCGCCGAGCCCGAGATTCACCACATCTTCCGCAGCGATCCCAAGTCTCCACAAAAGGTCATAACTCTTGTGTTCGCGGCTGCTGTTGCTGCTGCGCTGCCCATCCTGCTTGGAGCGTGGGCTACCTTGGGCGCAAACGTTAGCCATCTGGGCAAGGCCCTCGGTAACGCCCCTGTATCACATGCCCTTTTCTACGGTTCTATACTGGCTATGGAGGGTATCTTCTTCTTGTACTACACGACTTGGAACCTTTTCCAAACCCTGCCAGCTGCCGCTGCCGTTGGAATCGTTGCCTTTTTGAGCGGCAGCCGAGCCCTGTCCGAGGTTCAGGAGCGCCGACTGGCTGGCTTGAGATAGGTGGAGATGAGGACTGAACATAGCGCTATGGTCTGAACATTGAAGACAAGAATCCAAAAGGGGGTTATGGATGGCATATGAAACGCCACTGAGCATGGAAAAAGGACAAAAATGAGAATATTGTATATTACGCATGTTGAATGATTAAACTCTAGAATACAGGCTGGGCTCACTGCGATACCAGCAAGTCCATGCACTTGGAGCTGTGGTGTCCTTTCATTGGTTGTGCTGCCTATGATCACGCTTGTGATTAGGATACGGGACGAGCCATCATCTCCCAGTGTATGTTGTTGACTCTAGGAGTTTGCAAATGAGAATCACAAGTCCTAGCGTGTTTAGAGTTGGCTGACGGTGAAATGCTCCATGCTACCCAAACAACATTATCTCATCATTCTGCTAATGTGATATGTCGAGTACAAAATAAGTATATTGAGGGTTTGTTATAATTCCATTACTGATCCTTACTCCCCTTTTCACCCAAGTGTTAACTTCTGCTACTACTAAATGTCCAAAAAAAGGCACTGATGTGGATACTATGGTGAAGGAAAGAGAAAACTCTTGGTAACTATCAAGCAACATCATTCACCTACTCTACACCCAACCAACCAACCACCCTTCACCCCACCATCCCCAGAATCCCCTCGACATTCTCCCGTCCAACAATCCCCTCCTCAACCATCTGCGCCAACACCCACTCCACCACCCCCCTCTTCCCCTTCCACCCCTCCTTCCTACTCCCCGTCCCCTCCACGCCCTCCTTCAACACCTCCGCAACAACCGCCTTCGCATCCGCCACGCGCCCCGCCTGCACCACACCCGCCCTCTCCGCCCAACTCCTCGCTCCCCTATAAAAAACCCCCGCATTACCCACGAGCGTTGTCCCGCTCTTCCGCCACGCCGGCTTCGCAGTGCTGAAGAGCGAAATGCGGAAGCGGAAGAGGTCCGTATCGCCTCTTGCTAGGAAGACATCGGATAACCGTGAGGGGGATAAGAGGGAAGACTGGGGCGCGGAGGAGAGGGTGGTGAGGATTGTTTGGGACTGAGATAGGGCTGTCCATTGGAGATTTGTGTCTGTTTCAAATGTGGGTGCGGAAGGTGTGTATTGTGTGCCGTCGGAGAGGGCGGAGGCCAAGTCGATGAGGGCGTCTGCGTGGGCCGAGTACAGGTTTATGGTGGCCAAGGTAGGAGAAGGAGTTTGCGAAATGGGTTTTTGGAGGGAAGAAAAGGTGTGGTCGATGGTTGAGGCGTAGGTTGTTGCGTCTGTTTTTCCGCTGCGGTACTGGATTTCTGCTATGCTGGCTTGGAAGGTGGCGACGGCGAGGAGGGCGTCGTCTTTGGGGGTTGTGCTTGCTTCTTCGGATGCGGGGGTCGAGGTTAGGGAGAGGGTTGGGCCGGATTTTGGTTCTTCGGCTAGGGGTTTTGAGGGGGATTTATCGATGAGATCGAGGAGAATGGGAATTTTTTGTGTAGCTGTTTCAAGGCCGTCTTCGGCTTTCTTCTCGAGGCCGGAAATGTCGAGGGCGGGGTTGTAGAGGCCCAGGAGCGTTGTGAGGGCATTTAGTTGTGCAGTACATGTTTCCAAGATTGACTCGGGTGTTAGGGGCTCTTCGACCGTAGCCCAGTCGCCTGGTGCTTCTGTATCGCTAGACTCGGTCTTCATGTCTTCATGTGCTTCCCCAACTGCTGACTCTTGCTGTCGTTCTCCTTCCCAAGCCTCGCGGTACTCACCAGAAGCCTGTGCTTTTGCAATCTCGGCTTGTATCTGCGTGTACTCTTGCTGCTGACTGTCCAGACACCTTTTGAAGATCTCCACAGCCTCTTCAAGCAATGGCCTTGCATCTTGCTTTCTGGCTTCTTGTGTATCACTTTCTAGACGGGCTTCCGCCAGTGACGTAAGCACTTGTGCAGTATTGAATAGAATGTCTGTATTTGTTGGATTCAGTGAGACTGCAAAACGGTGAGAATCCAAGGTTTGCTCCAGTAGCGCTGTTCTGTTTCCAAACTGTGACATGCTGCGCTCATCTTCTGCAATGTTGTATAGCAGATTTGCTCTGTGCTCGATTAGTACTTGGCGCAAACTGAGATGCTCAGCCTACTCACTTGTTGTACGCGAGATCAAATGATTGGGGGTGGAGTCTCAGGCCCTCATTGTACATATCAATTGCTCTATTGAAGAAGCGAGCGGCCTTTGCTGCGTCTCCAGCGCGCCATTTGCCCGCTGCCTGCTCATACTCGTCTGCGGCTTCTAGGAAGTCGTTTTCGGTTTGTGGTTCTTGTGGTTTTAACTTGCCCTTTGGTTTCGGCTTGAGAAACTCTTTTCGCTTAGGAGGCATGTCGACTGGAGAAGATGATGATGAGAAGTGACGAGATTTTGGTTTGGTGTTGCGTTGTTGTAGTCAGCGACAGGACAGGGTCTGTAAAAAATGAGTGGCGAATCTGCCCAAGCTTGATTCAATCTGATTGATTTCTCAGCAAATGCGACCGCGTTCTGAACACCTTTCACTTGCTCTGAATGCGACTGATGTATAAATTTAATTTCTGCCCACCCTACCTTTGAACGCGAAACTTCTTAAACCACCCCGCTTCCACCTGCCCCACTTTGGGCGAGCCTTGCGAACCTTGGACCTTCTGCATCCACAGCTTTCACTTTAGCTTCTCCTTATTGAACTCATCCCACAACAAGGTTTTGTCAATCAAAAAGCCACTTTGATTAAACAACACACCCTCTTCCTTCAGCAGCTCCAATTTCGACTCCTGGTTCTGTCCGCTCGGCGCCTTTTCCCAGTCACCCTTGTAGCCGCCAACAAACTGTATCGGTCAGCACAGCTGTCACACCTCTTGTCACAGAACACTTACCCCGGTACTGGCGATGCATCTATGACAAGGTACTGCCGGACAGAATGGGTTGACGCGTAGCGCGCCGCCCACGGCTCGTGGAGAGCTACCCAGAGCCTTTGCTATAGCGGCATATGTTGTGACTCGACCCTCTGGAATCTGCTGGAGTGCTGTATATACGCGTTCCTGGTATTTGGTAACTTTCTGCTGTAGGGCCATGATGATATGTACCAGGAGTCTACATGTGCAAGACACGCGTGTCTTTCTGGATCAACGCGCAGTCACGTGGCTTGCTTTCAAACTGACCACTCTCAGGCATCTCCATATAACCGGACCAAATAAATATCAGATCTACCAACGAAAAGAATAGCCGCACAATCTTCTCGGTTAGTAATGCTGTGGCTTAGGCGTAATTTGTCTTCATCCCAGTTATATCTCCATATCGAAACATACGGGCTTGTCCGAGTGTTAACAGCACAGATGAGCTGTAGAGCCATTCCCGCGGAATGTTCAACATTATTACGAAATGCACCCAGAAAAAAGTGTGTGTCTATCTGGAACTAAGCAGACCTCCACGGACTTCCGATTTGATAATGGGTCCCCCCACGAACAGGCTTAGCAGCCAGGTCTATCCTGGATATGCTGACGGTCACTAACACTTCAGCCGACCGGGTGTTCCCAGACCGATGGCAAGTGACCTGTGTTGACATTCTCACAGTGTTCATGGTAAATAAAAAACCCCACGAATTTCCTCAACCTTCCTCAAGATCGGCGTTTGCGGTCAATGCATTCGGACCTTGCCGACAAAATATACACCTACGCGCGATAAGCTGAGTCACATCGCACAGCAGACTCCAAAAGAGCATTACCTCCGATACACGGAAACTAACAGAGTCGGAAGCGCTCTCGTCTTGCCATACCCCGCACTACTGCCACCTTTACAACCATGGAAAAATTTGTGCTTTGGCGGCTTGACGACCAGAGGGGGCCGTCACAACTAAGTCACGCACTAAAACGCACGTCGTCATTTCCACACGGTGACCTCAGACGAACTTATTTCCTGTTCACACCGCGGCGGGCCGAGCTCCACTGGGTCTCACAGGGTCATCAGGTGTTCACAGCAAGTGATTCGTAGATAGTGAAGCAGTCGCGCCGTGCCGCCCTCCCTTTCCTCCCTTCTCCATTTGACTAACGGGTAGAGTCAAAGCACGAATCAGTCTGGGGCCAAATGGGTCCGCTGTGGGCCTCTGATCGTTGTCGTAATTTGACATGTCGACCCAGTATGTCATGCGTTCTGCAGTTGGGCGGTTAACGACAACTAAGATTTGGCTCCGACACCAGCACCTTGACGGCCGGAACCGTCAAATCTAGACGCAAGACGCCGTCAGTGTGAAGCAGAAACTTTGCGCTACCTACAACACTATTATCGCTCCGGCTGTCAGACGTTGGCTGGGTTTCTGCAAGACGGTTGAAAGTATTGATGACTTTGATCAACAGGTCTCGACGCTTTCTTGGATGTCTCAAACTCCAACACCACTCTCGAGAACTAGCGACCTTTGGGTCAGCTTGTTGAATACCCTTTACCGCATCTACCCACGGGTATCGTCTCTACGGATGAGCACATTCAACCCTTGTATCAAACTGGGCCAGTGATAACGTCAACGGCCAAATTCCGTCTCTCATTGGCCGCAACCCTTCACCAGACCCTTCCCTATACAGTATGGCGTAGTCACATGACCATATAGCTCTGCGGGCGGCCGTTTTTTTCACATTACCAGAGCACGAATGAGCGTCCAACGCCGGGGTCAGCAGGTGTGGTGGCTTTGGCGCGACCTGGACGGTGGATCGCATCCACAATGGCGCGCCCTCGCTCCGAAGCGCAAGTGAAACTGTCGAGGATAGCAAAAAAATACCGCTTTTGCTATTGCAGGTGAAGAAAGATCAAAATCGTCTTTCTGAGTTGAGAGTTGCGCCGCTTTTTGATGCGTTGTCATTGTGGCGAGGGAGATCGACTGCTCAGCCTCAAATTCGCCTGAAGCTAAGCCGAATTGAGGCACTCAGCCACACTCCCGCTCTCTCTGGACGGGCTCTCCGGCCTGACGGGCATAATGCCACCGCCTCACAAGCAGATCCGCAGGCTCCTGGTTAAAGCATGCAATGGTCACGAGAATAGCAACAAGAATTGCGAGATCCATTGGGTAACCAGTGCGAAAATCGCTCAGAAAGCCATATGACTGTTTCTGCATGGGGAGTCCAGCCGCTTGTTGCCCTGCAAGCCCTGATTGAACAGTCAGACAACCCCCTCGACAGGTGAAGGCTTCTCAACGAATCTATTGCTTCGCCAGATTAAGGTAGATGCATGCGAGCCGTTGATAGCCATGTCGGTCCTTTTTTGAACTCGATGGGACAATCGATGGCTGATCGTCGCGCAATTTCGAAGGGCTGAAGGTAACATATGTAGCTGGAAGGGTGAATGCTGGCAAATGAGGGCCGTTGCGACGTCACGGCTATTTGTCGACGTCTTTCGCTAAGATTCGCATCTCAGCTCCCAAAACAACAGCCCTGTCATGAGACGTGTCTTGAAAAGCAATAGCAAAACGTGAGGCTTGTGGTGAGGGTTGCTGAGCGTTTGGAACGGCATAATGTTGGTGGGTAAAGGACGGATGCGGGCGCCCTGACAGCCAATTGGACTTTTCACTTGGCTGGCGCCCTACAAGGTCTGTTTGCGAATCACCGCCCTCCACCACTGCTCAGCAACTCGACTGGCTGTGCTCTCTCTCCAAACCAGAGGCCTCCACCCGCCTATCCAAGCCCAAGCGCCCGCACTGGACCAGGATGTCGCCGTCCGGAATCAGCCCAATATCGCAAGGCCGCCGGCGTCGGCTCTCTGAAAGATGTGTGCGCATCTTGGATGCGCACGCCGCGAGGTTGTACATATGCAAGCCTACGCACCACGCAATCGCAACAATCATCAAAGCACTCTTGACCAACAGATTCCATCACTGAGCCTGCCAAACCACCTATATTGCCGAGAAACTCAGGACTACTTGAAAGAGGCACCGGGACTGGTCCTCCGTTTTGAAGACGGCTCATCCGCAAAAGCCCCACTGAGGCGACTCTCGGTTGAAGCCCCGCGCTAGGACTGTTGACCCTGAGGTAAGAATAGACGGGACGCGTGAGCTGCCGTTGGGGGCAGGAGTATAACACCAGTCATCGTCTCGTTGCTCCCTGCGCGCGTCGTGGTCGATTTTCGTCCCATCTTGCTGTACCCTGGCACAGCCCCATCTCGGGCATTGCCGACTGCGCCACACCCATCACTCGTTTTCGGACTTGCCGATAGATGTGGCATACGAGAAAGATTTTGACAACTTCACCGAAAGTCTGCACGGATACGCAAGACTGCATGTACCAACTGGCTGGATGACTTATATGGATAGACTTGCAATCTCAGTCATCGTAACAAATCCCCGAATCGCCACCCCCGTCCGGTTAATCTAGCCATCCCGCCATCAGCCGCACCTCACACCAATTCGCTCTACAGATTCTATCCAAGTTGGCTTTTGCTATCAGTTTCGGAATCCCGATTTCCGACTCCCATTCGCCAAACCCTTTTGTCTCAAGTGTCTCACAGAAGGGTAAGCACATGCCTTCATGAGTTACTCGGCGTACACAAGCATCTGTCGTACATCTAGCCGTGCTACACAAGGCTACCCAAAATGGCTTCTTATAAGTCACAATACCCTCCCTCAAGGAGGGTGGAGGACCGAGCACCCATTACTCGGTTGCCTCAACGATCTATCACACCCACCACAGGCACATCGCAGTTACCCGCCTCAAGTCACTCTAAGCTGCAGAAGAGGAGGCCTTCAAGAGATGATGAGGTACAGCCCAGAGGTCCTGTAAGCCAAACAGGGTCGGTATCAACGTCCAGTATACGCCAAAGAACTACCAGCCGGTCTACGCCTATGTTTCCTCAGAACACAAGCGCTGCAAACTCAAAACCAACATCTCAGACGTCGACGTCCCGACTACCCAAGCTCGAGGTTCCCCAAAGTATACGTACACCTTCGCTCGCATCAGGATCATCGGCATCAACCATCGAAAGCCCTCGATCGAATGTTCTCCGGAGAAAGCAAGCGAGTTTTGGGGTTGCTAGTGGTCGACAGGCAATACGCATAAGGGACGATTCGATGTCGTCCCAAGACGATGCGCAACCGATGGAGGGCATACCTGGTGGCTACAAGGATCCTTTCTCTGAGACTGTTCTAGGGATCTCAATCCCACCGACTTCGACAATATTGGCTCGTTCGGAACCCCAAGCCGAGCTGTATAACAGTCCGCTCTATGATGACGAGATTGGACCTACAGATATTCTTCCTCTTCCGGTCCCTCAATATGCTCTCTCAGCAACCCCATCAACACGTTACTCGGAATCTCCAGGACCTTTTAGTGTCTCATCGACCCCTACATCAATGTCGTCGTACTCGCCAGGAACAACACTATCGAGGGCTTCTAACCGAACACGGCAAGCAAGTCCTCTACAGAGTAGACCACCTGTTACTCGACACAAGACTCCAGATGAGATGAACAATCGCCACCCGCACGCTCTATCCACAGTCAGAGAGTCCTCGACATCATCGTCATCGGTATCCACTGTCATCACCGAGGGCGCAAAATACAAAGACATGTCACCTAACGCACTAGCCACCCTCCCTCAGAGCCCTCGAACATCAGAAGTGATGCAAAACACAAGCGAACGACCACAGGCTCAGGCACCTCCTGAGTTTGCTCATCTTGCAAACCAATCCCCTGTTCCAATGCCATCGGCAAGGCGGCCATCGAGACCTAGCAGAGATGGTACTCCAGAGCTATCGGGACTCCGAGGTCCATCGCCAATCATCCAGAGTAATATGCCTCACTTTCCATCTCACCATAAACGTAGCGCATCGTCCGAATCTAGGATAGCGCTAGCGTCCACCATGAGATCTAAGACGACCACTCCAGCGAAGCCATCCTCACGACTTCCGTCGCCAAATCCCTCGTCGACCTTACCACCAGTTACCCGGTCAACATCGCGTGGACCTACTCCAGACCTCCAGCTTGATCGAAGCACCCGAAGAGTCAGCTCTGGGCCAGTACCAGCACCAGCCCCAAGTCCGAACAAGACCTCTCGATTCGGGTTTTTTACCCGTCGTACCAAGACTGAGCCCGCTGGCCCCCCGAAGTCGGACGGAAAGCTACACCGTAGAGGGCCTGCTGCAGGTACTGGGCATGAAGGATACGGGCGATATGCTGGCAGAGGTCGGAGTGGAAGTTCGATTAGTACTAATAGTATTGGACGTTCTGCTAGTGCTGGAACAACTAATGAGAGTTTGGACAAGACACCTTCGACCCGCAAGAGCAGCATGACAAGTACAACAAGCGGGGATATGGATGACTTCTTCCTGAACCGACTTGCTCCGGTGGTTATCCGGGGTACAGGAAGTAGTACAGAGCTCTCACGTAGTCCCGAACCGATGCAGAGTAGCAGCAGTCTCGACGTATCCATCAAACAGCCAACGAAAACGACACAGATTGAAGGTAGTATGTCACAGTCTGCACTGGAGAGGAACAAACCAACACTGTTGCCTTCTGCGATGCCGAATACGATGCGTGG